GAGTAGAGAGGGATGAGGGTGTTTTATAAGACACACCCTGACACCCTGAGCAAAGACTCTAAGGTAGAAATTGTCATACAAGTGACTTGTGTGAGCATGCACGCATGTGCACAAGGGGTAGAGAGGATTGCCAGGGGTCTTTAGATTTAACCTTGGTTTTGCTTTTCTTATTCATTTATATGTGCGTACTCACGTTTTGTATGTGCATGTGTAAAAGCCAGAAGAAGGATGTGGGATATCCTGTTCTATTGCTCTCAGTCTTATTTCTTTAGGACAGAGTCTCTCACTGAGCCTGGAGCTTGCCCCTTTTGCTCCGGTAGCTGACCAGCTATCAATAGTGATCCTCCTGTTACTATCTACTAGAACTAGAACGTGTGGCTTTTAGACACAAAGCAAAGAAAACCAGCCTACAATTCACAATCCCAGAGAACCTAGACAACAATGAGGACCCTAAGAGAGACATCCATGGATCTTGTCTACATGGAAAGCAGAAAAAGACAAGATCTCGTGAGCAAATTGGAAGCATGGGGACCATGGGAGAGGGTAGAAGAGGAGGGAAGAAGAAGGGAGGGGAGCCAAGAAAAAATGTAGAGCTCAATAAAATCAATAAAAAATAAAAATAAAAAAGAAGCTGGGTGGTGGTGGCGCACGCCTTTAATCCCAGCACTCGGGAGGTAGAGACAGGCGGATCTCTGTGAGTTTGAGGCCAGCCTGGTCTACAAGAATGAGTTCCAGGACAGGAACCAAAAGCTACGGAGAAACCCTGTCTCGAAAAATCCAAAGAAATAAAAGAAAAAAGAAAAAAGATTAAAAAGCAGATAAACAAACAACAACATGGATGGCAGGTGCTGCAGCTCCAGAATTGGTTCCTCATGGTTGTACAGAGCGTTTTCTTGGCCGCTGAATCTGCTCCACAGCCCTATTATTCATATTTATAGAAGGAAATAAGGAGACAAGATCGGAGACATACCTCTCACAGATCGCAGAATCAGTTTAGGACTAGATGGAGAGGACCAGGGCGATGGCTCAGTCAGTAAAGCACTTGCCATGGAGACCTGAGGACCAAGTTTGTACCCTCAGCATCCACACAAAAATCTAGGTGAGACAGCACACACCTGTAGTCCTCCAGTTGTGGAGGTAGAGGCAGGAGGATCCCTGGGAATGAGCCTCAGGAGGCTCAGTGAGAGACCCTGTGTAAATACAAAGATGGAAATCAACTGACATCAACCTCTCGCCTCTTCATGTGTGCACATGTACACGTGCATACATTTGAACATGTACAATTACATATGTTAGCGCCCCCCCCCATTAAAAACAAAAATCACTAGGTGGAATCCTATAAAACCTCCAGTTCCCCATAGGACCAGTGAATTTATGTGAATTGGAGAAGGTTGTATGAAAACATGAACCACAGCACATCATTTTCTGTTATGAAACTATGATCAAGGTAAAGATAATGTGTATTATTAGAACCTTTCTGTGAAAGTACAAAACCTCCCACTGTCTCCTCTCTATTTCTCTTTCCTCCTCTCTCCTGCCATCTACCCTTCATTTCTACCTCCCTCCCTCCCTCCCACCCTCCCTCCCTCCCTCCCTACCTTCCTTCCTTCCTTCCTTCCTTCCTTCCTTCCTTTCTTCATTGCTCCTTACTAAGTGTTAACTGTATGCTAAGAACATAATAAATAAACGTGACCAACACAATTTGTGGTTTCAGGGTAAAAAGGAAGAGAGAACTAGGGTACCAGGGGAGGACCAGGCTGCTGTGGTCAAGTTCAGTGAACTCGATTTGGTCTTCTCCATTTTTCTCAAGCATGAAGTAGCTCGGCTCCTTGTTTTCCACTTTCATCTCCTCTTCCTGAGTGTGTTAGACAACTTCCTATGAAATGGCCAAGCTTAACAAATAACACAAGTTACTGAAGTAACTTGTAAGTAGTTTTTAGGTTAGTAAACATTGTGATGAGAGTTTTTTTTTAAAAAAAAAGCCTCTCACTCTGTAAATTAGAGAAACAATTTTAAACAAATATGAAACACTATTATAGATTTATTTAATTAGCTTAAAATATTCACTTGACATAGTTATGAATAAAATAATGAATTAGTTTTTCACTTCAGAGAGCCATCTGAGACATAATTATAATCATAGTGATTTTCATCTCTCTCATTTTGGCTATGCATCTCAATATAAATAAATGAGTAAATAAATAAAATTCATGGAGAAAGACCATAAATAACCTTGTTCATAAAAGTCAGGAGACTCAGCATTTCCCACAGTAAACAAACATAGCGGCCATGACCTGTCAGCTTGCCCAGCATTCCCTCAGACTGCTAGCCAGCATTCAGTCTTCACTTTCAGCTCTTCTCATCCATCTTCCAAACAGAGCCTGAAAACAGAGCAACCAGAATGTTCCCTTTTTATAAATGAACTCACCACAGATTGATTCATTTAAATGGAAATCTCTTTTCACATGCCCCATCTAAATTTTATATCGTTTTCACAAATATATTTTTATCTTTTGAGGTGATAGTTTAATTATACCATCTCCCCCTTCCATTTCCTTCCTCTTTACCTTCCCATAATCCTCCTCCTTGCTCTCTTTCAAATTTATGGCCTCTTTTTTTTCATTAATTGTTGTTACACATGTGTGTGTATATGTGTAGACATATGTATTCCTAAACACATAACTACAATCTGATTGGTCTTTATGTTATTTATATGCATATGTTTTCAGGGCTGACCATTTGATATTGGAAGATTAGTTGGATCTGCTTTCCTGGGGTTCTTTTGCAGATAGTACTTTGGAGGAATGTAGTAGGTACTCTGTGTCTTCAAATGAGTTCAGAAGCAAATTATCATTAGGAAAACAAGAAAAAAAAGTGCTGTCCATGGGATTCTGAGTTCTGTGTGTTTCCCAGATGGGATTGAAGTGGTTCCAAAAACTGACAAGGGCATTTTGTTTTCTAGAAGCATTCAAAGTGTTAGTACTCTATAGAAGTCACTTAAGGGAATGTCAAGACATTTATTTTTTTAAAGAAAACCATTCATAAACTTTAATATATATATATACTTAGATACATTATATTTATATATTATATTTACACTATATATATTATATTTTGTTGTCTGTCATTTCCAAGTATTTAACATTACTATCACTAGAAATGTTTATATAGCTATAATTTTGAAAACTCATGACACCTGCAATCATTCTTAGTCTGATTCAACAAATGTTCATTATTACTGCATAAAACTGAGATTCTCAATTCTTTCAAAGCTTTCTCAGGAATGAACTGAATTTCCACTAGTACTGAAACACACACAATAAACTATAAGGCTATACAAGAGGTCAAATGATGTCATGTGTACGAAATTCTCAAGCCGAGCACAAGGGCACGAGTCTTTAATTCCAGTACTTGGCAGGGGGTAAATGGTGGTGGGTTGGGGTGGGAGTGTGACCTGGATACATCTCTGAGTTTGAGGACATCCTGAATTAGTGAGTTTCAGAGGAGCCAGAGCTAAATACTGAGATCCTCTCTTAAAACAACAACAAAAAGTTTTGCTTGTAATATTCTCCACAGAGAAGAAAAAAAGCAAAACCTTCTCTGCTTGGAGATTCAGGAATCTCCAAGTTTTGGAGATGACTGAGTCTTTATCTTTTCCTTTCTCCCAATGGGCTCAATCCTTCAGCAATCTTAGAGGTGCCACCTTCAAAATCTAAAGTAGAGAACATCAGAGAGCCTCCCATGTGAATGGCCTGCATGATCCCCAACCTGCCTTGCCCTCTCAGAATCCCTAGAGGCGGGTGTCAACACCCAATGGCAGATCTGCTCCTCCATCTTAACCTAGAGGCCAAGCACTGGACTTCCTTTCCTTTCCACCAGGTCTCCACACCACCCAGTTCCCTCTCCACCTAGAAGGATGCTTTGATCCATCTCACAGCCTTGACATCATGTCTACTAGACCGTGGTCTTGGTGTCATGTCTCTCAGGACCTTCCCTGACCTTGCTACCGAGAATGGATCTCTTTACTCGTCACTCCCACAGCCTCAGACTCTTGCCTCTGGGACACTTCTGTTTGTTCCTTCACTGTCACATTGTTCCCACTCTATTTAATCTCCCTGATGGTGAGACTGTTGTAATCCACCCCTTTCTCCAAGAACCTAACAGTTTATAGGTTAGTGTTAAGTACTTCCAGGATGTATTTATAAATGGGAAAAGACAAGGTTTCAAAAGTAATACGTCAAACTGAAGTCTTGAATGTCAGGATGACTTATTAGCTGTCTTGAGCTTGGGGAAAAAGTGAAAAGCCAAGAAATCCATCAGGAAATGATGCCATCTTGATTTCGCTCTGTACTGTGAATGGACAGGACAAAGACTGTGAGTGCTGAATGCTGAGAACTGCAGGATTTGCCAAGTCATTGACATATTTTAGAAGGTATGAGAAAAAGTAAGAGAAAAGAGAGGAAGAATAGAAGGAAGGAAGAAGAAAGGGAGAGGGGACAGAGAAGGAAATGCTATTGGTTATTAATCATACCCTGCTTAATTGCATTTTGTGTATCTATTTACTTGGTTTTTACTATAGTTCATTATGGTCTATTGCAGCATAATTAACTAGCCTCAAACCTAAACCTCAGAGTAGCTTGTACCTCACAGTTATGTAGAATCGGGTACCTGGGATGGGATATCTACCTATTCTTCATGGAGCATATTTGGTTTCTAACAGATAGTTCATCAGATTGGAGAGGCCAGGATAGTCTCCTTCCCATACCAACTGTCATGGCAGCAGCATCTGTGAGACTGCATCTGAGCCTTCTTCCTCTCCCATCCAGGCATCTACAGAAGGTAGCTGGAATTCTCATATGAAAGTTTATAGCTCCACCCCAAGGAAGAATCTCCTTAGGTGCCTTAAAGCTATTGGTCAAAGCAGTTGTACCTGAGAGTCAGATTCAAAATGAGGAGAAATATTAAAGGTGTATGCCACCACCACCTGTCTCTATGATGCGGAATCTCCAAGTTCACATTTTCTATGAGATGGATTCTCCTGGTTCTGGTTCCACAGAGCAGTCTTGTCATCTGCAGGTTGGAACATAGCCACAGAAGACTCTTCTGGTTCCCCATCTGGAACATAGCCACTCTTACAGAAGGAAGACACTTTTGGGTCCCCCTCCATAACATACATGCATGCATGCACACATACATGCACACACATACACATGCATTGGCTGTTGTCCAGTGGCACCAGGAGTAAATGGTCTCGAGAATGAATAGCATGTGTAGTCTTCTCAAGTCTTCTCAAGAATGCATTCCATACAAACCATGCTAAATTTTTTTTTGTTTGCCTCTTAGAAGTCAACTTTGGAGAACCAAACTATCACAGGTAAACAGTATCAAACTTTCATTTTCCAAGGTAGTCACCACAACAAATGCATATTCTTGTCCTGGGCTTCGAAGAGCTCCCTTCACTTCCTCTGTTACTGGCTAAGAGTGGCTAAGAGACACACCTTCTCTCTCACTCATAGCCGCCGTGAAGGTAAAGGCTACCGATAGAGAAAGTAAGACTCACAAAGCCATGACTCATTTTCGCATCCTTTGGGTTTTGATCAAATGCCAAGAGATGGCAAGAGATAAATGAGTCTTGAGGTAAATGGAAACCAGTAACATCATGGGTGATAATTCAAGTTTCATTATTAATTTTCTTCTTCACAAAACTACAAATGAATTTTCACACAGCAGGGAAAGGATGTAGTCCTGAGAATTCCTGGGAATAAGTGGAAGTTCCCTTCCTAGCAGCATTGCCCAGAGACACTAGTGATTACTGACACACGTGTCATGCTGGGTAAGGAAACAATTGTTCACCACGAAAACCTTGAGTATCAGATCACCTGTGGCAAAGAAATACTATTTATCTAAGAAAATAGGAAAGGCGGTTTCTCTTTTAAGATGCACCTGATTCTCTTTCCTTCCACAACAGAAAGAAGAAAACATTTCCTAAGCTGAAGGCAGTGAACCTCTCTGCAACAGAACTAGGATACAGTCCTGGAGGGGGGAGGAAAAATCTAGGATCTCTTTTATATTTTGTTCACCATTAAATAATTTTTAGAACCTTGGCCTCATGAAACCTAAGCTGGCCTGGAATTTGCTGTATATGTGAGGATGGTCTTGGACTTCTGATCTTTCTGTCTCAACCTTTCAAGTGTGAGGATTAGAGGTGTGTACCACCCTGACCCAGTTTTGTGATAATAGACATCAAACCCAATGCTTTGTGCCTGCTAGGCAAGGACTTTACCAACTCTATCCTCAGCTGCCTCTTCTTTTCACTGAAGATCAAACTATGGTTCAAAGATAATGAGTGTCATTAGACAAGAAATCTAATAATAGTCCTTTATAAACCAATCAGTATCTTCTTAACCTCTTCACTGAACCCTTCACAGCACCCAGCATGCCCCTGACACTGATGCTCTCAGGACGTCTTAATCTCTATCCCTGAGGACCATGATGGCTTGGGACAAAACTGAAGATGAAAAGGCAGTCATCCTTTACATACATAGTATTTGGACTATATTATTTACTTAATGAGATCTGTGAAATCAATATATAAAAACAAAAAAAATGATTTAACAACATGTAAAAGAAACCCAAACTGATCCAACCAAACAAACAAGTCTTAAGAATAGTACCAAGTGGTAAACTAGCCTCTTGGTGGTTTTTGGAGTAAATCTTGCCTCCTCAAAAATAAGCCCCACATGTCCTGAGACTATTCAGTTATGTTTCCCTCCCTGACACCAGAGTGCCAGGAATGCTATGATATTTTTGTGCCTGAAATGAAAACATATAATATGAAAATTCTTCTTGTGTTGCCTCTGGAGTGTTGAGCTGTGGCAGATGTTATAGAAATTTTACTTCAGCCTCACTGAAATACAATCCGCATACAATATAACTGAGTCATTCAAAGTCTATAATTTGGTAGCTCACCATTTTTTTCCAATACATTTTAGAATACCTTCACACTTTAAGAAACCTCATATCTTTTCATCACTGTCTCCACTTCTGCTCCACCCTGTTCACTACCCTCTGGATGGGGATTTTTCAATATTCAGTCCTTTGTGTCTAGCTCCACTATGCTAGGAACCCTAAGATTATTGCTTTCAAGATTCATTTGTGTTGGCTGTTGAGATGGCTCAGTGGGTAAAGATATCAGCCACCAAAACTAATCATCTGAGTTTGATCCCCTGGACACACGTGGTGGAAGGAAAGAGTTGACTCCAAAAGGTTACCCTCTGACCTCCACCTGCACACTATGGTTCACATGTACACACACAGACATAGGTTCATATACAACCCAAATAAATTTTAGTTTTAAAAAAGATTCATCTATGCTATTATATATGTTTTATGGCAGATGATATTCTGATACATTCACACACACATTCACATACATGCACACACATATGTATATAATACTTTATTCACACATTTATCAGTTTATGAGGATTTGGGTTGATTTTGGCTCTTATCAGTAATGGACATTGTTGAACATATTTTTGTGAAGATGTGTTCTTTATTACTCTTGATTATATATCTATAAATGTAGTCACTGGGTCATTAACAGATATAGTTTTATGTGTAAATATATAAATTAAGAGAACTGGTGCACAGTAATTGAAAAAAAAATCAGTCTGTTGGATACTACTGCAAAGCCTAAAAAGGGACTTTCTCATATTTCTTGAACTGACTATAAGCCCACAGACAACATCTACCATTTCCCTGTTAGAGACAACTCTTGCTGGAGAGAGCTGTCCCTATTCTAGACGGGTATATTTGGCCCTATTGTACACATATGTACCATTTTCTCATACACTTCTTGTAGACAATGAATCTATTGAATAATTCTGAAAATGTGTATTTAATGCTGAGAAAACTGTAAAATGCAATATGCATACACATGCACACATACACCCAACATACACATCTGTTAGATTTCCTCAGACAGTCCTCTAAGAGACCTGAAAAATCTGGTTAATATTTAAAAAACTTACATTCTAAAATTTCAAATAGAATGGTTAATCACAAGGAACAGGATATGTTGGAAATCATGGTTATGAAGCAGTGAAGATACAATTTGTGAGTTAGGCTTCATGAAAATATTATTCAGATTCAAACCAAACTCAGTGTTTGCATGTCTTATAGAAAATCTATAAATTGGCATATTTTGTTCTGGAATTGTAATGGGGCCTGTAGTGTATATATCTTTGCTTTCAAAAGTCGTCTGGTCATATGTTTGAGTGAAGTTGTATTTGGTGGCTGCATAGCCTGTACTTGAAATATAGCATTGTTTGTCTGCCAAAATGTGAGTACCGCATACTGGTCTGCTGTATGACACAGTTTCCAGGAACTCACTGTGGTGCTCAATGGGGACTTTCTGCACCACGGCGTCGGCCTGCACCTCGCCTGTTCTCATCCGTTGTCTTGAAGATGCGTCTCCAGATGTGTTACTGAGGTAACTAGACTGGCAGTAATGTGGTATGGTGACCCTGGGGATGCCAGACCAGGCTCTCACTGAGCTGTCTCACCAAAAAAGTACCTGCTGGTGACAAACATGTTCTTCATATCTTTGTTTTCAGAGAGAAATTCAAAGCCTTTGAGAGCAGTGGTTTTCCAGGCTATTTGAGTCTTTCAAGGCTCTCATGCTTAAAGCTTGATAACACAGCTGTAAAGTCGGGAACTCTCCCTTACATTATATCAGTGTCCCAATTGTTAAACTTTGGAATCCATCTGATTCCTAGAAACTTAGCTGAACCATCTTAAATAAATAAAATCTTCATTGATAAATAATACTCATAGCATACAATGTGGCATTTATACAAGCTGATGGGTCTTAGTATACCATATTTATTGGATTGTAAAGTCAGCACCACTTTCAATTTTAATACCTGGCACCATTATTAGAACGGAGAACCTGGGGCTAGATGGGTTGTAAACCTCAGGAAATAACCTACTGCTATTTCTTGCTAAAGGGACATAGTATCAAACTGCCCTCTAAGTTCATATCTTTATATGGTAGATGTGAAGATCAGTGCATAGATCAGCTCATCCCTCAGCTCTCATCAGAGAGGCTTCCTTTTGCAATAGGCAGAAATTAGCATAGAAATCACAAGTGGTCATTATGGAGTTCTCGACTCTAAACTTTATAACATTTTTACAGTTTTTATATGTGTATAAAATGTACTGTGATCTTATATCTCACCCATTTCCCTCTTATCAATCTCCCACTTCTAATGGCCCCTCTTTTTTTTACTCCAATTAGCCCCCATCCTATTTTTATGAATTATTTTTTGTGCAAGTTCTGTGTGGTAGCTACAGCCATGAGCGCTCATAATCACAATGGCCATGACATACCCAGAAGACAGTAGTTCACAATATGTCTCCTGTCTTCTGAGCCTTACAATCTTTTCACAATCTCTTCTGTAGTGTTTCATTCCCGAAGCCTTGGGCAGTGTGATATAGATGTCACATTTCAGACTGAACACCTAATAGTCACTTGTTCTCAACACTTGGTCCAGTTAACAGTGTCTTCATTTACTTCAGCCCACTGTAAAACGGAGCTCCTTCCACCAGGGCTGAGACAGCACTAGTCTATGGCTGTAATCATAAATACGTAGAAGGCAGTTTGATGATGTGTCCGTTCAGCAAACATCAGAAGTAGAATCTTCTAGGTCTTGTGAGCACCCTGGCCATGGTTATAGACAGACAGATTTGACATTTGTAAAGTCCCCAGAGGGAGCTTTGCTCTCTCTTCTTCTGCTCAGCTATGCTAAACTCAGGGGCCAGGTGTTGAAATGTGTTCTGGATTTTCATAGATTCTATATTTGTCCGAGGAGCTTCCATTAATCAATCACAATGCCAAATTAACAGCCAAAGTTGTTTATACCTCTTCTGGAGACCAGCCTTGAAAAGTGCACCAGAGAAACGACATTCCAAAGCAGCTAATCCCGTGTCCACGTCCGGCCACCTCCCATGGGAAACTCTCACGTACAGAGCCAGTATCCGCCTCTCATGATCTCACCAGGGGTACAAAACAAGCAACTAGAGACTACCAGGCCCAAGACTAACCCCTATCC